TTTTATTTTTGGTCTTTGTTTTACCATTTAAGTGATATGAAGAAGCACTAAAGACAAAAATAATTTTTTAGTGCATTCCAAGTTTAGGAAGAGCTCAGATGCTAGGTAATCAGTTGCAGTAAAAAAAACCACAGGAAAAAATCCTCAAAGTTCATCAGGAAAAATGTAAATAATCAGTAACATATCAAATATTTTACTTTAAAAATATGAATTTCCAAAAAGAGATAGAAGCAGCACTTTACATGTATCTTTAAAAGTTTACACATGTAAAGTCTTGTCAGAAATCACTGGACAAGGCAATATCTTTCTAGAACATATAAATGAAATGTAGTATTATTCCCTTCTGGGCAATTTAGCTTTCCTAGTTTTCCCAGTGAAATTTAAAAATAAAATTGGTCCCATACCTATACATTTTCATGAGATTACACATTTTGGGGAGTTCTATAAATTTTGTTCAAATCATTTCTTTCCTAGTCAAAAAAATCATAGCATTTCAACTTTCTTAAGATAATATGAATGTTTATTTCCCCAGTTTACCCAAATAAAATGGTATACATGGTTCTTGGTGAGAATGATCCTCAGTCCCATTTCTTTGGATTTCCCATTCTGATAATACTCAACTCTTTGAAGTTCCACGATTAACTCATGCTCTTTTATGCAAAGCATTGTAACTTTGCTTTCAACTTTCCTTCATACTGGACTCCTCTTTCTCCTTATATTCATTGAGACACCAATCCATCAATTCTCACTCAGACAGTGTGCCCTGTAAAGGATTCTCTGATTATTTCTACCATCATCCCCATACTGACAGGTCCTATTAGACTCTCTTGATATTACTCCCAAAGGATTTTTGTACATATTATCACAAAATCGATGATCTCTTTGCATGCTTATTATTATTATTACAACATCCATCAGAAGGCAGGGACTATGATTTTCATTTTGTTATCTCTGTGGCATAGAGTAGGCAACTGTCCAATCTGTGTAGCACCACAGATATCTTTTACTCAATGGATAAACAAAACTCTTACTGAATAATAAAATAAATGTCTCCATTACCTCAAGTGAAGTAACACAGGAATGGAAAACCAAATACCGCATACACACTCTAACTTATAAGTGGGAGCTAAAACAAGGGTCTGCAAAAGCATATAGAATGGTATAATGGACATTGGAGGTTCAGAAAGAGGAGGGTGGAAAGAGTGGGGAAGGATGAAAAATCACCTATTAGGTACAATGTGCACTAGTGGGTACACTTAAAGCCTAGATTCCTTGACCACTAAACAATGCATCCATGCAGCCAAAAACCATTTGTGCCCTCTACGGCTACTGAAATAAAATAAATATGGTCTGGTATACTTCAATTTGTAAAGTTGATAGCCTACTTCATGATTTAAAAAATCACTGTGGTAGAACAACTAAACCTGAACAGAATCAGTATAAAGTTGAAAATTAGGAAAATAAATAATATCTACCTAACCTTTCCACAAAACACCTTTTCTGTTATTGACAATAACATAAAATAGCATGAAATTAAGAAATGTTCTCCAAACTTCCCATAGGTTATGATCTTTCACACAATTATATGGTATTAAGAAGTTTATCCTCTTTTTACTTTCCATAGATGTCTAACAAAGAGCAACAGCACAAGCACAACTTTTAGAAATACAACCAAATAAAAGTAAATCCTGTAGTAGGATTCATCAGGAAAAAAACCATAAATGCCATTACCATTTACATTTAGTATAATGTCTACCTTCAATCCACTTAACTGAATGCACACATATCACAAAGTTTATCAGTGTATTTCAAATAGTTATATAAGTATAAAGTATATGTAAAAAAGAAATATTCTATTGGCCTATAGAATAATTATATTGATTAAAACTAAACCAAAAATCAAACTGTCCAGCAATTCTCAAGCTATAAACAGAAACAGTTTCAATTAGAAACTTAAGAGAGGCAAGAGAACTCTCCTGGAAGTTAAATGAAAATTACAACAAGAACATTTTCCAAAGGCAGATCATTTCTTAATGCAATTACTTGTTTCCATTTTATGGCTGTCATACTTGCATTCCTGTAATGAAACACTATTTTGCTCTTCTCACAGTGGTCAAAACAATAAAACAAAGCTAAATAAAGAAAATGCAGATCTTAAAAGTTAAAGACACTATTCTGGGGAGAGACAATTAGAAATATTTTCAAGCATTTGCTGAGTTCCAGTGACCTCTAATTAGTGAACAGGATAAAATTTATAAGTTCATATAAAATTTTAAGCATATTTAAAATTTTTGTTCTGATTTGTTGGCTATAGACTTTGTAATTCATAGACGTGCATTTATTTTAGTGATATTTTGAGATGTCAAAAATAGGACTTAGTGCATTTGCTTATTACCTGAAAACATAAAGGAAACTTTCATTCATGTTTTACATTATTTTAATTTTTCAAACACCTCAGTAGAATTTTTTCCCAATGAGGAAAAAAATCTTTTTTCACTAAAGTAAATACTACCTTTTTTCCTTTGATATTTCTTAGAAGGAAAAAATACATAATGTGTCTTAAATGAATTTTTAAACTATAAATCAAGTAACATTCTATTGCAATTACTACTACTTCCACAGAAATAGTTCCATAGGCTGGCAAACAGAGACTGGATTCTGCAGCACAAATTACTACTATAAAAATTCAACACAAAGAATGATTTATTTTATCAATATGATACCATTTGTGAGATAATAAAATGAAAAGAAAAAAATGAATTCACCTAAAAGAGCATTTATGTAAGTTTGAAAAGGAATTAAAAAAAAAAAAAACCAACACTGGCTGGAGATATCACAAAATGCATTTAGCCCTCAATAGTAACAAGGGAAATAAAACAGTAGTTTAGAAGAATTTAATGTAAGTGATTTAAAAAATATTATATGGCTGCTATATAATAGCTAGTAAGGCAAAATCATAACAAATATTTTAAAAAGTGAGAAGAGTATTTATGAGAATAAAGACAAAAATATTCTGTGCTAAAGATGATGAATTTGAGGCTTGTGAGTTAATGTTTGTCAGTATTCTGGCAGACGTGACTAATTGATCACTGGACTCTTTGTGGCTGATCCTGGAATCCCTCTCAATACATACTACAGAAAGCCACTACCAATCACTAAAAGTTGGCACTAATGTTAAAACCTATTTGTCAAACCTGCGCTCAGTGACATTGTTCAAGATGTTCAGCTGGGAAACCTTCCCAACAGGTAAATGGTACAGGACTATGCACAACCTGTTAGGGTATGTGATCAAGCAAGGGTTGGTTTTCAAAACTTTGTGAATGCACGAAATTCTTAAAAAGCAAAATGGGAAAACAACATTACAGCAAATAATATTATGATTTAGACAGAGGAATGAATTTTAAAAAGCTAACTGTCATTATAATCTAAAATGGTTTGAACACTGATGATGTAGCCACTTAAACACAGTCATCCATTTTCAAGGGAGGCAATCACTACAAAGGTAGCAAGAAATTGAAACAATGATTTCCTTAACTGCTATGCACCAGAAATTAAAAAAATATTAGAGGTAACTGACAAATTAATAAAAATTTTAATAATGTGTATTTATTATGTTTTGAAGTCACAGATGGTCTAATGGCTTAAAAAAGCTAAGACAAAATGAGAATACAGTAGAGAATACAGTAGAGAATGGAGAATTTGATACTCAAAGCACCTAAGTACCTCAGCAATCAAAATAGCAGATTTTTCTCCCAATAAAAGGCAAAACCTTGTATGGCTAATTTTAACACAGTGTTCTAATGAAATTAATGAACACTCTAATGAAATTAATGATAGTGCAATCTTTATCCAAAATCAAATGCTTTTTAAGTCTTTAAACAATTCTTATAAGGTGATTTAATCTATAATCACAGAAAGTAAAGCACAAATACAATGAAAATGGCTTAGTTGTTGTTACCAGAAAAACAGTATTTCCACCGAAATGTTTTTAAAACGTGTACAAATATTGAACCATATTTCAAAAACATAAGTTATAATTTTAGTTCCAGAAAACAATAAATAATAAGCAAGCATGAGGGGGAATTAAGTAAAAAATATCCACTGAGATCAAATAAATGTATGGTTACGGTAAAGGTAATTTGTTTTTCCTGTAATTATACATTATACAACCTCACTAGGTTGTTAAGCCAAAGGCTGCATAATGAGACACCTCAGAAAAAAGTATACTTCAGTAAGAAACAAGCTTAAAGTTTACAGGAACTCAATCTGACAATGAAACCTGCTCTACATCAAACAGCACGATGTACTATTTCTGGCAAATAAAAACTGCCCCAGTTCTCTACTTCATCTTTTTTTTTTTTTTTTCCATTTTACTTCTATACATTTAGCCATATTTAGAATCCAGCATGAATTCTGTAATAGCTCTTGAGTTGTATTGGCATATAGTAGTAAAGAACACTTTCATCTATGAGCAACTAAAACCATAATCTATAAATCATTAAGACTATGTCACTACATATAATCAGAGAAAGTTTTCTATAAATCTCCTTTTAAGTAACTATTATGTGAAAATTTTTCATCCTTGGCCAAATTAATCATCATGAATTGCTTTCACTATTATGCTTTCCCATGACTTTATACATAATTTCTTTGGAATGAGAATAAGCAACACATAAAACAATCTTATTTGATTATAAGGCTGTAGTTTCTTCTATTATTAATGTATAATACATTCCATGTCACTGTTACTCATGATTACAATAAAAAAATTCTAATGAGAAGGCATGTCATTGTCTAATTAGATACCTACCTCAAGTTAGAGAGCAAAACAAATATTTGTTTATAAACTATATAAATAGCAAAGAAAATTTTTACACAAAATATAAAAACCAACAAAAAATGTTTTGTGAAAGAAATTTACTGCTGTATTGTAAAAATATATCAGTTTTTTAGCATTCTATTACTAAAACTGAAAAATGTTTTAAAAATAGTCTCCTTACCTGTGTATGCAGTTTTTACTCTCGAGATATAACATTCCAGAAGCAGCGTCTAATGAAAATTTTACTAACTGTTTGAGTTTTAGTTCATCCTTCTTCTTTCTCAGAAAGGAGAGGAAATCACCTCCTGGAATTGACAGTTGAATAATGAGAGAAAATTATATTGAAAGTCACATTTATCACATATTAGGAATATCTGACTGAACAAAAAGCACTATACATTTGGCCATGGTTTTTGCCCAATTTGTTTCAGGTGAGGATAAAAGAAAACATGAAAAAAAAAATATTAGAAAGCAGATGCCATAAACTTTCCTAGATAAAGTTGAAATACTTTACATATTTTATATTGTATACTAACTAAGCCATAATAAATATTTAAAATCATGCTTTTTCATTTATTGGTATTTTTCATCAATAAGTATAAAATAAAAACCCATAATTACAAGTTTAAAAAAGAGAAATCATATTGAATTAGCTATTAGATTAAATAAATGCCTAAAAAAGTAAGACTATTAACACCACCATCACTGACAGTGTCCAGACTGAAAAAGACAAAAAGCTATGATTTTGATGAGATTTAATCACTGAGCCAGAATGCATATTTGTGTATCAAATGAATCCCAATGATGTCCTTGAAAAACTTCTTAAATCATCATGGTCCAAGACAAACATAACATGAAGCAAATTGTAATTTTAAACTCACTGGTAGCTATATTTTCAAAAGTTTTTTAAAAGGTGAAATTGGCTGTTATGATATAGTTTCTTGAACCAATTATATCCACAATAGTGTATCAATATGTATCAATATGAAAACTATAGTTGAGAGATTTTACATGTTTTAATCATACTGTCTTTGAACTATATTTATTTTATATTTATAACACATCTCAATTTAGATAATTTTCATCTGAAATTTTATGTTTTTAGATTTCATAAAACATTCAGTTTTTCAACTAGATTCACATACCCAGGTTGTTCTAGACATGCTTAAAATTTTCCAATAACTGAATCAATACTGATTTTTAAATTTAAATCAGTTAAAATTAAATTTAAGTTTAAAATTCAGTTTTTTAGAAGTGTTAGTCACATTTCAAGAGCCACAAAATTAATTCTTTTTTCTTAATCTGTTCATTCTCTTTAAGCATTAATTTTTAACACAGCATTTAAAGCTATGACTCATTTTTCTTTTTAGTTAGTTTATAGTCTATTGCACTATCAAAGGAGGTAAGGTATATTAGAATACATATTCTCTAAAAGCAATCATTCCTACTTTCTAGGCCCCCAGATATTAAGCCACAAATTTGCAACAGAGATTAACATTTTAATAGCAATGTCATGAACTCTTTTTTACCCTCTTCATTAGGAATCTAGACTTCTTTAAGCAGGAAAGCTCTAGAGGTGAAGACTTACTATTTTCTTCTTTACTGAGAGAACTCAGAAAATAAACACCTACCTAACTTTCCTTAAAATATTCTTTTTCTATCTTTTCTCTTATTCATAAATCAAGTGTTATATAAATTTAAGTTGGTCATTTACAAAATCAAATAAGCTACATGCTTTAAAAATAAACTTAAGGCCGTGGTGAGGGGATTGCCTGAGCCCACGGGTTAGAGTATAGCCCAGGCAACTTGGCGAGACCTCATCTTTACAATAAATCAAAAAATTAACCAGGCATGGTTCCTCTGGTTGGAAGGCTGAGGAGGAAGGATCACCTGAGCCCAGCAGGTCGATGCTGGGGTGGCTGTGAGCGTGCCACTGCATTCCAGCCTGGGTGATGGAGTGAGACTCCAACTCAAAACAAATAAAATAAACTTAATGGTGTCAGACATTCTTTTTTTAAAAAAAATACCAAATATATTAATTACTAAGATGAAATAGTTTCTATCACGCTTAACTTTAAAAATCTGAACAAAATATATCATTTCTATAGCAAACAGCAAAATTCCATGAATTTCTCAACTTTAATAGATACCAAACTGTCTATTAAAATGGACTGGAAATTAAAATTTAGTTCAAGCTATTACTAGGACCAATATTCACGTATTAATTCTTTTTTTAAATTTTTAAAAATTTTTATTTATTTTTTTTGAGTTGGAGTCTCACTCTGTTGCCCAGACTGGAGTGCAGTGGCTGCTCCCGGCCACTGCAGCCTCGACCTGCTGGGCTCCGGCGATCCTTCCACCTCAGCCTTCCAAGTAGCTGGAATTACAGGCATGCGCTACCACGCCAGGCTGATTTTTTTAAAATTTATTGTAGAGATGAGGTCTCGCTGCCCAGGTGGGTCTCGAACCCGCGGGCTCAGGCAATTCACTCACCTCAGCCTCCCAAAGGCACGGGATTACAGGCTGAGCCACCGAGTCCGGCATATTAATTCTTTTACTAGATATATGTTGGAATTATTTTAGAAACAGGTAACCCTTCTGGTTCTGAAACCAAATAGCATTCTGTTTAAGCTATAGAATAACATTCAAATGAAAAGATTTTTTCTGCTATTTGATTTAAAAGTATCATATGACATAATCCCAATTTTCTTCTGCAGAATCCTGATGCTATATATTTCTTTCCAAAGTTAGCTCACATTCAGCACTGTTTCATAACTTCATACATTTTTAAATTTACTTCATCATATAATCCTCTTTGCACTCCTCACCTGCCACAATATTTGTTGAGTAACAAATATTCATTACTCAACAAATTATTATCCAATAAACAAACTGCTATTCAACAAATTATTAAATATTATTCAATAATGATACATAACATAGTAATGAACAAAGAAAAGACAACACTTAAACAGTTTTAAATATTAGGTAAAAGGTGATGTCAAATAAATAAAGGTATAGTACTAGGAAAGTAGAGCTTTATACAGCTATTTGCAAATACTGTAGTTAATTCAACAATTACTTGTTTAAAATCATTAAATCTAGGAAAGCAAATTTTAAACTTACTTCCAATTTATAGTTATTCAAATCACAGACAGAGTAATCTTGAGTAAGGAGCAGAGCTGCACCTTTCTGCAAGCCTAGTCAGTATCTTGCAGAATTACTAGAGGGAAGCAAGGCCTCCAATAAAAACTAATCTTAATACAAGTGGAAACATTAAGAATCCTGAAGCAAGAAGCAAACTCCCCAAGGGGTATAGTATGGGACAAAAGTTAGGTTACCCAGAAAACAATTCAGACTTTGCCAGAAATATTCCCTTAGGCACAATACTTGATTATCACCATTTAGTGAAACACTGAAGACTGATTATCAGATGACATAGTCTTCAGTGTTCACTGTGAGGTTACTTAAGAGGGCAGGACGTGCCCCTTTCAATCCATACTTTTGTCTTTTTTCCATTAAGTGCCAGGTTAAAAACCTCTCTTAGAATTTGTGAAATATGCAGTAGTCATACATGCAGCACATAGGTGTATATGTACATGTATGTATGCATATGTATGTGTGTGGATGTAATATATATAGCATAGGTTATCCAACCTGATCATTGCAGTAAGGATTCTGGTACTCAAAGTGGGCAAAAAAAGATAAGTAACTCTCTTTTTGTAATTCTGTCTTACCAAGGCTTATTTCTGTTTGGGTACACTGCACGTTAAACCAAGACAGGATGGATTATTTTCTATAATTCTACAACAATCATGAATCTTTTTTCTTTTTTTATTATAAAGATGTGGGGTACATTTCAGGGTTAGGTATACAAACGTTGATTATGCAGTCCCCCTTGTTGATGAGGTATGCCCCTCCCTCCCCTAGCAGTTTTCCTCAACTGTCAAAGCCACCCCTCCTCACCTGACAGTTTCCTACTACTGCCAATCCCTTTCTTATAGTATTATAATTGTTCAAGGTCCACTTATGAGTGAGAACATATGATACTCTGTTCTTTGTTTCTGTGATAGATCATTGCGTATGATCGGCTCTAAATCCATCCAAGTTGCTGCAAAGTCCGTATGTCCCTCTTTATGGCTGCATAATATTCCATTGTGTGTACGTACCACATTTTAAAAATCCAGTCCAGTTGTGATGTGCAGCATGGTTGGTTCCATGTTTTTGCTATTGTGAATAAAGTTGCAACAAACAGGCGTATGCAGGTATGTTTTTTGAAGAATGATTTGAGTTCCTCTGGGTATATTCCCAATAGGGGGATTGCTGGGTCATATGGAAGGTCAATTTCTAGTTCTTTCAGAAATTGCTACACTGTCTTCTAAGGAGGTTGCACTAGTTTGCATTCCCACCCGCAAGTGTAGAAGCATTCTTTTTTTCTCCACATCCTCACCAGCTTCTGTTGTTGTTTGTTTTATTAATGATGGCCATTCTTACTGGGGTTAGGTGGTACCCCAATGCGGTTTTGATTTGCATTTCTCTGATGATTAGTGAGGCAGAGCACTTTTTCACGTGTCTGCTGGCTGCTCATAGATTTTCTTTTGAGAAGTGTCTATTCATGTCTTTTGCCCACTTTTTAATGAGTGGAGTTGTTTGTTTTCCTTTCAGCGCATTTGAGTTCCTTGTAGATCCTAGATGTTAGTCCTTTGTCAGATAAAAATTGGCAAATATTTTTTCCCATTCTGTGGGCTGTCTGCCTGCTCTCTTGATGGTTTCTTTTGTTTTGCAGAAGTTTATTAGTTTGATGAGGTCCCACTTGTCTATCTTATTTCTTATGGTATGAGCCCTTAGAGTTCTGATCAGGAATTGGTGACCGGTTCCAATTTCCATAAGGGTGTCTCCTGGGTTTTCTAAGATTCTTATAGTTTGAGGTTTTACGTTTAAGTCTTTGATCCATTTAGAGTTAATTTTTGTGTATGGTAATAGGTAGGGTTCCTGTTTCCAGTTTTGTGTATGGTAATAGGTAGGGTTCCATGTGATCAGTCAGTTTTCCCAGAACCATTTACTGAATAGATTTCTCCTCTCCCCAGTGGTTGTTGCCAGAGGCTTTGTCAAAGATGAGTTGGTTGAGAAATTGAAGCTTTGGTTCTGGAATCTCTATCCTGTTCCATTGGTCTATATGCCTGTTCTTGTACCAATACCAGGCTGTTTTAACAATAATTAATTTCTAAGACAACATTTAAAATGTTCTTAATAGCCAACTTCTGGTTACTAGAGAGAGAGAATGATATGGTGGAAAGAGAATGGA